CCTTCCCCACCTGCTCCTCTCCAGCTCCGGTATCACTTTCTCTAGGGAGTCTCCCCTTATGTCCAGGGCATTATGACCTCTGCTGTCCTAATGCAGACAGAAGTCAACCAACTGCTGCCTTAGATAATTGAACACCAATGGCCATGGTTAGTGGGTACTGCATACTTTTTACAGCCAGATGCAACAGTTTCCACAGCTGAGTTAATTAGCCTACACAGCTACCTTAACGATAGGCGCTTCCGTCCTCAATTTGCTTTGGAGGAACTAAGGATACTGAGAGAAGCTCTGTACACTTGGACTAAAGCCAGAAAAGTGGAAAAGAAAGAGAAGGCTGTCACTCTTACTGAGCATTCTCCCCATTCAGAGTTCCTGCCCCAATGCTTTCTTCTAATGATAGCTGCTCTTATACAAAGGAGACTACACAAAGATTGTGGAAAAATGGAATTAAAGAGTGAGTGTATTTTGATATCAGAAAAAGGGAAAGCTTTGCAGTTTTTTCATAATATGTATTTTCCATGAAAACCCTCCTACACTTCCAGGCTCCCTCTTCCTGGGCCTGGTTTCTCTGTGAAATTCATGTGTGCACTATCATGGAGCCCTCCTTTCTTTCTTTTTTTTTTTTTATTTTTTGAGAGGTTTTTGCTATAGGGCATGTGCGCTCGTCAGACAGAGAGAGAGAGAGAGACAGAGAGACAGAAAGCGAGAAATCACTCCCCAGGGGGATGGACACGCCGCAATCCCTTCTCTTCCGTACTCCTCTCGGGATCTTGGGCATGCAGGCACACATGCCCGGCGTGAGTTTTAAGCCACTGGGTCTGGGATGCGAACCGTAGTCGATTATGTGGGAGTCCAGCGACATAGCCATTACGCTAACTGCTGGTCCCACGGAGCCCTCCTTTCTTCAAGCATCACACCAGCCTCGCTTTCTCAGCAAAGGATCTTGTCTTTTCTGAGCTTTCCTGTCAGATCCCCTGTATTTCAAGAGAACAGAAGAACCTCCCAGTTACTCATTTGCCTCTAAAAGGCTTCTTGATCTTTGGGTTCTCGGTCGCTGCTGTTTCTGAAGAAGCTTCTGGTACAGTGTCCCAGCACTTGTAGTGTGAGCAGCTGTGGGCCTCCTGCATCCTCCCCCTCCCCCTAGCTGGCAAAGTGAGTCCAGGAACTTCTGAAGCATAGGACAGTGCAGCTGAAAGAAGCAGAGTAGAAGTGGCAGCTCTTTGGGGGATGGCTTTTTGCTCCTTTAAAATGTAAACATTTCAAAATTGCTTTGCTATTTTCAAAGAGTTTTTTTAGCACGCTAAGGGACTAAATGGCAAAGGGTATAAGTATGAATTTGGATAGCTTTTTTTTTATAGTTTCAAAATGTGTGGGTAGCTTCAGATGTGAAACTCCATCTCACAAAGGGGGAACTAGGGTCTGAACTTCAATGCCCAGGGGAGCAGCTAAGATGTCTCATCCTACAGTTTCCCTGTGGGCCAGGGGTATTCAGATTTGCTAAGACACACTATGAGGGGCTGCACTGTGTCCAACCCCCGGCCCCAATTCCTCCACATGTGACTGAGCTTGAAATGTATTTGGAGAAAGGACCTTCAAAGAGATAATTAGGGTAAAACAAGATCACCAGATAGCCCTTATTTCAGGCTGACTGAATAAGGCACTTCAGCTGTCCTCACTTTGCTTTGGAGAAGAGATGAGTACACAGACACACACAGGGACAACCATGTGAAGATATAGTAGAAGGTGACCATCGATAAGCTAAGGAGACAGCTCTCAAAAGAAACCAACTCTACTGACACCCTGATCCCAGACTTCCAGCCTCTAGAACTGTGAGAAAGCAACTTTCTGCTGTTATTTTGTTAGGACAGTCCTAGAAAAACAATACAGATTTCATACTGTGGCCAATGCCACAGATCATTTCATCTATGGGTTTCTGTGATCATAAGTCTTCAGTTGAACCTGAAGAAATGTCTTAATAAACATTTTTCTGAAAATAATAGCAAAGTGTTACTTTTAGAAAAACACACAACCGGTATCCAGCCTTGCATTCCATTCGCTAGGTTTCTCTGGTAGGGTAAGTTCGCTCACCGAGGAGACAAGCAACGAGTCAGTGCTGCTGAGATTTTACCTGTGGTTCTAGGAATGCAGAGGCACATCAGCGCTCAGGCTTTGCACAGACCACTAAGCCACTTCTAAGAACAAGTCTACCTGAGGTATTTTGCAAAACTATGCGTGTGCAGAGGTTTTTTCCTCTCTACACCTACCCAGGCTCTTTTTGCCAGCACATTGCGTTTTATGAGGGTCCAGTGTTTGGGCTCTGTAAGAATTTTATGTTGCAAACCATGTGTGATAATTCCAGGGAATTTCAGGCACATCTCATCTTCCAGCATAAGCAAATTAAGTGAGAATCTGGTGTGGTATGACAGAAAAAGAGCTGTGTTTTCTGTGATAGACCACGTTCATTTCGTGTGCCAGTCTCCCAGACTCCAGTTGTCATCTGCAGTAACTGAGCAATGGTTTGCTTGATTTCATACCTCTCTTTCCCCTCAATTTCCACATGGGTGTCTGGCTAAAAATGAGTTATGAGTTTCCTTCTGTGAGAATTGCATAGACTGATAAAGTACCATCCCAGGAAGAAAACAAGATTCCGTTTCCCCCTCCAGCTCATAGCTGCAGTTGGGGAGGGAACACTTGCTGTAAACTATAGGCAGCGAGAAATGACCCCACTGAATGCTGGGACTGGCCTATAGGAACAAAGGAAGAACTCTGGGGGGGAGCAATTGTTGGAGGGATGGCAAGTCTTATAGCCTTAGACAAGAGATAAATGGTACCAAAAGAAATAGTATTTGCCACTCCTCTGGCTTGGTGAGTGACGTGGACAGCTATCCTGTGTGACTGTAACCTTTGTGTTGATGGATGACTTGGATGAAATTAGCCAGGAAACTGCCAAGATTTCGCTAAGTCCTCTGAAATGAAATCCCAATACACTATTATTGAGTTAGAGATCCTGAAAGGCACTGAGTTCCTTTTATTGAGAAGAAGACCTCTTTAGAGGAGCCCTTCTGAGTTCTGGAGTAGACTACGGCCCTCTGCAGTTTGTTGCCTTGAAAACTGATTAACTCTTGTTCCTAAACTGGGGCAGGTAGTCTGACATTCACTAGGTACAGGAGCTGTGAGGCTTCCTCAGTGGCTGGACTCCTAGTTCCTGCTGTCTGCGCAGGTCACTATGTCCCCTCACAGTCTCTGCCTTGGGACCAGTGAGGACAGCTCTGAAGGCCAGCAGTAGAAATGCAACCTGTTGCCAATGGAAGGTTTAAATATTTCCTGAATCTGTCTTCCTGAGTTGATAAAATAGGAAACAATAATCGTTTGTAGGGGATATTAAAAGCAGAGTGAAGGCAGGAAGACCTTTTGTCTGTTATTCTACAAATATTGCTTCCTTTGCTTGTTAGCAGCCCAGAGGAAATGCAGCGAGGGAGCAGTTCGCAGCTTCTCACCAGCGGCGGCATCTGCTGTACCGGCCGAATGGCGCTCCGAGGATGTGTGACTCATGCATGTCCTCATGATTCAACTTCACTAAAATTTCCTCAGCTGCCAGTAAAGAGGTACTTGAACATTCTTGAATTTGAAGCTTGCAATTGGAATTGACTTTGTTCCTCTTCTCTCCCACTACCTTAATATTCACACACTCACGCACACACACGTGCATGCGTCTAACACACACACACACACACACACACACACACACACACACACACACATCTTTGTTTTAAATTTTAGGGACCCGGAAAAGTATAGAGCTCTGTGGCATTTACAATGGCATTTGTTGTGACGAAGTGGCTGGCAAACCCTCTGCATTCCCCTGCTCACTTGGCTGTATGAATAAATAATGAGTCACAGATACTATTTGGGCGTGCACAAGAGTTTTAGCCAGAAAATTAATTATTCTCCCATCCCTTCCCATCACACTCCATCCCAGCCCTGCCAAGCCATCAAGCCACACTTTGCAGGCATTGGTCAAAGTGCACGCCCAGACACACTGCAATGCCTGCATGACATTTTTATGTTATTATTTTTGTTTGTTTAAGCATGGCCCTCTTTTACCACAAAAGATATACAAAACTCACATGCACACACACATACTCACACATTTGCCACTCAACTGCAGCTTTGCACATTTCAAGAGGCTGGTCTCAAAAACGCAGACAGGTTTTCCACACCTGCTGTTCCTATTCATAAGAATGCAACCTAATGACTTAAGCCCCGAGGACACTTGACTTGGGAAACTTCTTCATTGCCTTCTTTTTCGAGAGAGACCTCTGTAGGCAGCAATTTGCCTGCTTTCTCTCTCGAAAGATGCAGTTGCCTCTTTGTAGTGAGGCTGTAAGGAAGAACACAACATAGTCCCATCCTGTGTTTTTAACCTAAACAAATCTGCCCAGCTCCTGTGCTCTGCCTTTCAGAGGCAGCTTGAGTTACCACCGTGGCCCTGAAGTCTCTGGGCTGTGCTGGGTGAAGGAGTTTCTGAAAGCCTTCATCTCCTGCCCCACAAGGGCACCAGCCCTTCTCGCTGGCTCTGTGCATGTGCCTGTGGAGCCCTGGGGCAAGCTGCAGTCTGGGCCACACATGCCGAGTTAAGGATAACTCAGACAGAGTCATTCCAGGCCAGGGACAACAAAATAAAATGCAGGGAGCTTCATGCATGCTTTATAATCTCTAGGACTTTAAACAAGAGCAGTCCGACTTACTCGTACTTGACAAGGTTTTCACACCGACTGAACACTACAACAGCTTAGCTAAGTATTTATTAAAACATTTCTGAAGAGCTGCCATCTGATGAATAAGTAATTCAATAGCCTTGTAATCATATGCCTCAGTTTTAATTCCTCCCACAAAACAGACAGGGACCCAGCAGGCACCGAGATGTCTCTGCACCCAGGCTGCTATTTCACTGTATGTAAAGCTGAGCAAAAGGAGATATTAAAAGACCAGCTTGTACTCACCTCTCACGAAGCACTGTGGGTACGAAGGAAATGACTCAAATATGCTGTCTGAAGCCATCACTTCTTCCTGAAAATGCACCCTCTGATGAAGGCGAGGGACTCAATGATTCTTCTACCTTAGGAGCGAAAACCAAGAAAGGTCACTGTGTTCACCTCACTCCTGACCGTGGCTGTCTACATCTCCCTCTCTTTCCCCCAACCCCCAACTCCCTAAGCCCTGTGAAGAATGTACCTTTGTGAAACAAATATTCAAATTGTTAAAGATTAAAAAAAAAAAAAAAAAAAAAAGAAGCGCCGTCTTAGCTGTGGGTTGATGATGCTTACCACTCTGCGAAACTCTGTGGTTTGCATTCAGTGTGATTCGTCCTGCCTGCTGGCCACTACGCTGGGCTCAGGCTTCTGACACTGCCAGGCTACCCAACTTGTGGTTCTGTGGTTGTTGATGAGGCCCAAAGAAGTTTTCACACAACCCAAATTACAAATTTAACTGTTCCCCTTTCCATAGCCCATCTTAATTGGTTCTTGCCAATCATGTGACTTAAGTGATGTCAACTTTTTTTTTTTTTTTTTTAACTTTCTGAGCAATGCCCTTCCTTCTCTCCACCTGCCCTCCCCCAGGCTAGGCAAGAAAATAGCCGAGTAGACTGCAAGAGAGGGAATGCAGAAAAAAGTGACTCAGTCTCTTATTATAACCCAATGGTCTTTGCTGATTTAGTACAACTCGGCTCCTGTTGTTGTTATTTGTGGTTTTGGGAACTACTGATTATTTTGATAAAGATTTCATTGCTGCTTATTCAATAGTAATTCAATGCTGGCATGAAGCTGCTGCTCAGACAGGATGTGGATCCTGTCATTAAAGTGCTAGGCATCAGCGCAGGGAGAGTTCAGTCCTTGGTAAAGATCACAACAGCATAAGTGAAAGTATAAACGAGAAAACTAAATACAAGGAAATATTTTGGTGAGAGTCTGAACTCTAAAAGGGGCTACCAACTTACCAGTTATTTTAAAGGCCAGAAAAAGGAAAACATATTAATTATAAGATAAAAAGACCATTTTAATAAACTGAAATAATGTGGTTTTAGTCTCCCTAAAGAGACATTTTTAGTATGCATCCTTTTTAGTAAAGAGATAAAGTCTTAGTTCTCTCTCTCTCTCTCTCTCTCTCTCTCACACACACACACACACACACACACACACCCCTACACACACATGGAAGCTAAAGGAAAACAGAAAAGAGTTTTGTATTTTGGGATAAAGCAGTGACTACTCTGTAACTGGTTATCTTTGTTTTCACCTGTGTAGATCTCTCCATTGCCTTTCTCTAGTTCAAGTCAAACCAATCTGCTAATTCATATCTGTAGATAAAATTACTCTGAGCACATTAAGACTTGACCATAGGTAGAGGAGCCAGGAGGTGCTTCACTGGGGCAAGCCACTTCTCTTGGGCTGACTAATGAGTATTATATAGCTCATCCTCTGCCTCAGGAAGACAGACTTGCCTGTTTAAAGATGCTAAAAACAGGACAATTTTGTATTTGGACAAGTCATTGTGGTCATAGGTATTTACTTCTTTTTCTTGTTGGTTTTACCTGCTGACAAATAGAATGTCATTATTTTGGTAGTCCCAAGATTAAGAATGCCTTTCCTAATGTCTAATTTTGTACCACTCCATCTACATTCTCCATGGTTCTCTGTTCATGTGAAGTTTCAAGGCACACCGTCAAGAGAAATGAAGGGTACTAAGTACTGGTCCTGTATGCTAAGTTACAACAACCAACAAAAGCACTTTTGAACATCTGAATGATCATAAAACTCCCTTCATTTATCCTCATCCACTTAATTTTGCACACACAAAGACCCACAGCAATATTGCTTTCTTTTTGAGAGATTTTTGTTATAGGTAGCATGCACTCAACAGAGAGACAGATAGAAACAGAGAGACAGAAAGCAAGAAGTTACCCTTCCCACAAGGGGGATGGCCATGCAACAATCCTTTCTCCTTCATTCTCCTCTCAGGATTTTGGGCTCACATGCACACACGCCCAGCGTGTTTCAAGATGCCGGGTCCAGGACTCAAACCATGGTCCACTATGTGGGAGTCCAGTGATGTAATTGTTATGCCATCTGCTTGTTCCAACTATATTATTTTTAATGGCATATGTCTTTCAAAAGAAATAGATGTGCTTGCTCCTGTTTTGACTAAAGCTGGACTTGAAACTCAAAAAACTGCTTTCTCCCAGACCTGTGAGAAGTTACCTTGCCAAATGATGACACACTGCTAACATTTAAAAGAACTATCCTGCTTGTATTTCTTTTATGAAGTTTATTCACATCTAAATGGAATGCATATTTTATATTGTTTTTCAATGCAAATCCCTCGGTAATAGAATGAATGTTATGCTCCTGTGCTATTATTCACCGTAATAGTGTCAAGCCTGAGTTAAGCCCCAAATCAGGCTCTCTTCTCTCTCCTGAATTTAATATTCCCTGGAAGGACCCTCAGAGCTGAGAGTTGTAACATGCAGCTGCCACTTCAGACTCGACTCTGACTTAATAATGACTTAGAAATTCAAGTGGCAATGCAGATTAATCCTTTGGATATTTCGTTTTAGAAACTCCCCAAATGCTTTTAGTTTTAGGTGTCTAGCTGCTTGACGGGAAGGCTAGGATGTGTCAGCTAACTGTGCAAATTCCCATCATCTCTCTTTGGGTCTAGGAATAGCCAAGTATATAAGGGAGCTTCAAAAAGTTCATGGAAAATGAATTCAAAGTATGAGTTTTTGAAATCCATGCATGGTGTTTCCATAATATGCGTTTTTTCATAAACTTTTTGAAGACTCTGCATTTATGTTTCCCAGTGGTGTTTTCATAGGCAGGTCAGATGTAAAGGTGGCTATGAGGCTGGGGACTTGCTGAGGCCTCATTGTATACCGTCATCATTGGGGCCGGGGTTTCCATAGGGCACCAGGGGCAGAGTGCAAAGGCGTGCCCACGTGCCCTGTTTTGTCTTCTCCAGGGTCAACTGTCACCACAGCCATAGCAGTGTAATTTCATAGTGTGGTGAGACAACAGTTGGAGCATTTCTGGGCATCCTCCAGGTCATGACAGTAAGCGAAGATTCTGCTGTCTGTGGATGAACTTGGTCTTACCACTTCCTCAGGAGCCCAAGATGAAAAGACAAGTCTGTCATCAACGAACCGCTAGAGAATACTTAATCCTATCTGAACTAGAATTGTGTAGGGCTCTGTTTGTGTATTGACGCCCCGCCCCACTCCACCGCCACCCCACACACTGTACTAGTTCCTGCAAATGACTCAGACCCTGGGCTGCTGGCTTGGGAATTGTACCCAAGTGGCTGCAGTGGACTGTGACCTTTGCCAAGTAATTGGAAGGCAGTTTTTATCATTGCTCAGACTGGCTACAGCTTCTAAATGCCACACTGGGGGAAAGGGACATAAGATCAGGTGTTTTTTTTAATGGCCTTATAAAAATGGTGGCAAAAGCTGAAAGATGCATAGCTGCATAACCCTGCAATTAATGTAAAGACTTCTGTGTGCACTCCAGTCCAATTAAATCACTCTCTGTTAGGTATTTTCATTACATGATTACTGCATGCTGTCTCCAAACTCCACATGTATACTACAAAGCATATTCTCTAGCAATAAAATGGAGGCGAATATGGATACTCCTCTCTTGCCCCAAATTGGATGTATTCTAGAATTCACAGGAGGACAATGCTGCTGAATTATCTCTGTGTAGCATGAATTTTCATTATTTTCTTAATCTTTGTTTCCCAACAGAACCACTATCCATAAACTTCAATGTGATGTTGACAAGAAACTCAGTGATGATTTTTTTTTTCTTTTTTTTTTTTTTGGAGAGGTTTTTGCTATAGGGTACATGCGCTTGCCAGAAAGACAGAGAGATAGAAAGAGAGAAATAACCCCCCAGTGGGGATGGCCATGCCGCAATCCTTTCTCCTCCATTCTCCTCTTGGGATCTTGGGCACGCACGCACACGTGCCTGGCGTGAGTTTAAGCCGCCAGGTCTGGGACTCGAATTGCGGTCGACTACATGGGAGTCCAGAGACATAGCCATGATGCTAACTGCTGGTCCCATGATTTTTAAATTGGGACATAGACATCAAAACTTCATAGAATGAATACAGCCTGCTCTTAGCAAATCCAATGGTTTAAAATAATTGGCAAGTCCTACAGGTCTAGTTGTCAAAAATCTTTTGTATTGGATATTTATGATGGCCTCACATCTGCACATACCTCTCACATCTATCTATGGGTCAAAGCACAGTTGCAAACTTTTTAAAAAAGTTATTTATTCATTTGCTTCACAAGTGAAAGAGAGAGAGAGCTTCCTACAGGATCCTGATTCCACAATCTGCCCCCAGCTTCAGCCACCCTCACATCATGGGCATGCATGTGCTGTGGACTCATGGCATCTCTGGACGTAAATCCAAAGCCTTCTTAGGTGGGCCAGCCTCACAGAGCATTGCATTAGCTACATGACTTGTGCCAGTTACGTGACTGTACCACATCTACCCTTGCAATTCAAACTGAAGTCACTATAAGACTATTTTAAATTAAGCAAGAGCTTCTATATTATTTCTTAACATTCCCTAGGCTAAGATATCTTACTCTGTGGGGAAGTAGTATTTAAAAAGGAAAAAAGAGAGAAAGGCAAGCACTGAAACTTACCCAGATAAACACTCTAGTCATCTGCAAAGTTGTTTAATGAGCATCACTTCAAACAGAAGAGTGTGAATTGCTTTGTCCTCTACCTACAGTATTGCAGCAGCTTTGGCCATCACTTGGAAATTCTTAGGAATCAGCACCTTGGCTCCGTCCTACCGTACTGAAGTTTTGAAAAATCACCAGGTGATTCCTCTACACATTAAAGTTTGAGAAGAATGTCTCTGAGGGAAGCCTTGCATACACTGGAGGTTAGTAAAGCAAGAATAATATGGTAATTGTTTACATTCTTTAGGATCTTTTTCTCTTTGAGTATTTCTAAACATCTGACTTGTCTACCTTCTTGCCTTTACATAAGTTTTTAAGCACTGTCCTTTCTAGACAGCAGAAACCCACAAGAGACATGGCTCATGTCCCCTAGGGTAGCCCTTTCTTGGATTGTCACTCAGAGCTCTCATCTCAAGTGCTGTGTTTGGGTCAAGTTTACAGTTTGAGGTTTGATGCACAATGTAGGGAGGCTCCCCATGTGCTCTGTCTGTCTAGCTGGTGGCCATGCATGTATAAACAGAAGGCGTTTTTCCTCTAGGCACATCAGGCTCTCGGTTTTCACCTCGTTTGCAGTTTGGAAACACATCAATCTTGTGAGTTCTTCCAGACCCACACCATGTGTCCACTTGGCAGGCGGCATTGCATGTGGCCTAGGCAGTCATGCCATGGGTAGTCCTCTTCCCCGAGGACTTACCTGCCTGAC